TTTTTAGATGAGGTGATCCGTTTTCTCCGATCGCCTTGATCTGCCCTAGAATATATTAACCATTATAGGCCTGTCAGTACGGTACATTATTAAAATTATTCAACGATGGTACTGAATTCATATCGGTAGGCGTAGTTAATTATCGTAATTTCTATCAATTATCTAATTTCTTCGCAGTGATACTACTAACTGTTCAATGTCTCTTTTCGGCAGATGAACGATATAATAAACGAGTGTCGGAGTGTAATTTGGACGTTCTACAGAAACTTTCGATTGAGCTTAACCCTCCATGTACTTACGGAACAAAAAATTGGAGGCACCTTGGCTGTTATCTCAATGTTCCAAATAGAATCTTGGACAATTTCGCGAATCTTAAAGACCCTCTAGAAAATGTTATAAAATACGCTGATACGTTGCAAGCACTGAAGTTAGACGCGTTCCTCCCGGAGGTTAAACGCGTTGAAAATCACGAGGCTCTGAACGTTATTGTTAGATATGTTATTGGGCTTGTTGCAGAAGAAATGAATTCACAGGACAAACAATTAGACAATGAAGCGGAAAGAACTTGTTAGAATGGGTATTGTGCTACTCCAGGATCCAGAGGTGACGGAACTAGGGGGTGCTGTGTTATGAAGAGTAATGTGTGACCGGAAATGGTCTGCAGTCAGTTGGTTGTTACCATGCGCCAGTGATGTTGGAGTATATAAGTGCAGCAATATGAAACTCTTATGTAGGCCAAATGAATGAATAAAGTTCGGAGTTTGTCGGGTATTGAAATGATTATTTCACATTTTAAGTGTTCCCTAAATTCAAAAGTGTAAGCTAAATTACGGTGATTAATTTAATTATCGAAGATGTGGAGACAATTATTTCGAGTCCCTCTTTCCAAGAGGGGATGCAAATGCTTTGTGAAAATGAGTACGCCGCGGTACTCATTTTCACAAAGAAATACACACAACTGGTAAGCTAACAATATGCCAATGTTACATGAACACTTGGGAAGGAAGGTGTAATCACGTTGTTACCTAGCAAACGTCTGAACTGTATTGGGGAGGGGGGCTGCTGATGTACTGTGTAGCGGGGGAGATGATGAGGCATATAAGACTAGGCCTAACTAAGACAGTGGAATTATATGTGATAGAAAGTACACTTTCGGAAGAAATAAATTAAAATAAGAAAAAAGAAATAACTAAGAATAATTCAGTTGTAGAGGTACCTTGTTTAAGTATTACAATGCTAACAATGCGGCTATTGTAGCCCTGGCATGGGGGCGCCCATGTGCAAAGCAGTGGTGTTTGTTATCCATGAGAAAAGCACGCCGGGAAAGTTTGCCTTACCAGGAAAAGGTGACGTAATCTAGCTTTTTACGTTTGCATGCTAAATAATTTGAGTGTGACGTCACCAAAAAATGAATATTTTATATTATAACCAAAATATTAATAACTACAAGGTTTCTTGGCGTAAATTCCCTTAATACGAATTAAGGGTTGCACAATCTCCTTTTGCCATACAAATTACAGCTCCCACTGACGTCTCAGTCGAGAAATACGGGTAGCTGAAATTTTTCTCGCAAATCTGACTACGAAGCCATAGGCCTATCCAAATTTCACGTTCCATTCTTGACCAGTGAGTTGTGCTTTGCACACGCAGCTGAGGACGGCGTTCCGGGAACCCTGCGTCGAGTCACTATAGATTTCATGATGTGACGTCATTTTTTTAATGTGTTTATCATTGACATGTCTGATCAAAGTCAAAATTCAAACATGATTATTTGACATCAATCGTTGTACTCCACTGTATTGTCATAATATTTATACCGAACCACTGGTTTAGATATAGGAGGGGCCCAATAGAACATATAGGGACATATCGATGGCTGTAACTGCGCCATATGTTATTGGGCTTGTTGCAGAAGAAATGAATTCACAGGACAAACAATTAGACAATGAAGCGGAAACAACTTGTTAGAATGGGTATTGTGCAACTACAGGATCGAGTCAATAGATTTCATGATGTGACGTCATTCCTTTTAATGCGTTTATCATTGACATACGCCAAAGTCAAACATGAGTATTTGACATCAATCGTTGTACTCCACTGTATAGTCATAATATTTATACCGAACCACTGGCTTAGATATAGGAAGGGCCCAATAGAACACCCCCTATGTCATCCTTGAACCTATGGCGTATACACGATTTCGAAAAAGGGAGGGGTGCTGAATAGAAATATTACATCTACTGAACATAACGCAAGGTGCAAAACTAGGGAGGGACATATCGATGGCTGTAACTGCACCATACAAGGCAGTTCTTAAAGTACTTTGCTATTTATTTTCCGTTAATTACTATCATTTTTTTCACGTTTGAATAGAGAGTGGGTTGCTCAGACACCGTAAGGTCCCCTTAGTTTCGCCATTGCTTAAAATTATATTGAGCCAGGCACACTGACACTGCGTCAGCTGCTGACGATTCCGTCTCCTATTGACGACGTGACGCCGTGTGCGGATTGCTGATGGTAGCGTGAACGAATCAGGCGCGGATCCAGTAGGGGCACGGGGGAACGTGCCATTAACTTTTTCAAATTCCAATGCGTAACGGTGTTATCTGCTCTCACTTAAATATTGTGATACTGCCCACTCGCCCCACCCGTTTGAAAAATTCTGAATCCTCACCTGCCGAATCATCGTTTAAAAACGACTGTCGAGCAGTGCGTATCCGGTTTGTCCACATAACATAATAGACAACGGAATTTTCAATCGATTAGTGTAAGGACATAATTTTTTAGTATAATTTCTATTGGAAACGAAATGAATGTTAGCATGAAATGTATTTGTACTATTTTTATTAATGTTTATCCTACGAAAATGAAATCATTTGTAAATATTGTAAATATATCAAGGAAATAAGTCATAAATAGCTTTGTTTGTGTATAGTGGTCTATAGAAACATTTAATAATCAAATAAACAAGTAAAGCTTAGCAAGTGTTATCATTTTTTTAATTTTGTTTTACTCAATGAATTACTTAATACTTCGATTAACTTAATACACCGAATTCAGTGCATTCAAACACAATTTAAAACTATTGGATTGGTTTATTAATCAATTCTAGAGGTACACAGTACACAGTCTACCATACTTTAATCTAATTTAAAATACGAGAAACAAGATTTCTTTTTGTATCGGAATTTCAGAACACCCGTGGAATAATTATAAACAGAGCACTTACATGAGAAGGTAGTGTATTTTTATAATCGACATACGAACATGGGTACTTGGAATTGATT